GCACGAGAAGTGCAAAAACGCATAATCGCACCGGCCCGCCTGGTGCGTTCCAGCCTGGGTTTTCTAATGGTCACTGTTGCTAGTTGTGAAGGATGACCGCCAAAGTCTTAGCAAATTATTCCTGCATACGGAGACGAAACGAACGTCAGGATTGGCAGCAAGTTGACCATCAAGCGATTCAGTACAGTTCTAAGCAACTAGAAAAGCTGCGTAGATGAGAAATCAGGCTAAAAATTAAGCTTCAAAGATGAGAAATCATTCCGATTTCTTGACATTCTTGCATGTGTCCCTTTTCAAAATTTTGTTAGCAACTCAGAATCAACTAAGAATGTGGAAAGAAGCCAGGGAGGGAAGAAGAGGGAAAGCAGATGAGAGGGAGAGAAAGTTTTAAGGGAAATTATTACTTGTTTTGAGGAACCTAGGAAATTCCTTTATACCAAAAAAAGAAATGCTTTTTTATTGTTTCCAGTCACTAAAGTGTTTTTCTAACTAAATTTTTAGCGAATCATTTATTTTTTTCAAAAGATTGTTGATTATATTTCCTCTCCTTGCCTGTCTCCGTGAAAACTTTATTCACACCAGCTGTCGCAAAATTGTAATGATTTTTTCCCGTAAATAGTGAAATTTCCCAACGTATTGAATGTTCAGAACCCATTTTCCTGTAATGTAATAATAGATCCGATTACATAATGAAAGGACTACGTTTTTTGTGCGCTTGTTATCCCATAAATATTTTTGTGATAGTTTTTTCGTGGTCAAATAAAGAAATGGAATGCGCGAAATTGAAGTGGGGCGTGAAAATATGCACTTTTTAAATTAAATATAATATCTTTTTTAATATTTTCACATGACACTGCGAACAATCACAGTGATATGGCATTGTTTTGATTTTAATGAGTTCGCAAATTTTCACTTTCACCAGACCGTCCCTGCATGATGATTTTCGAAACCCCAATTTTTAGATTTAAGTTTCCTTTTATTATTAAGTTCTACGACCGCATTCGAGTTAAATCCAATTGATTTGATTGAGTCAATATGAATTCATCAATTAAAAAAAGAGGAAAGAACTTCATAATTTACTTTGCACGAAGGCAAAGGCGTTAGGAAGTAGTCCGAGCAGTGACGCATGCCAAAGGCAATCATTCACTTGCAATACTGTTGATGGTTCCTTCTTTCGAAAGTTGCTTACAAGCAAGCTAGTGATAAATTTTTGCTGGTTTACCATTGATACAAGCGAACGAATCGTAAAACGACTGACTGTTCCAGGGCAGGAAGCGAATTCTCAAGCCTTCGCATGAGGGCAGTCCTGCTTGCCACTGCGCCATTGCCACCGGCAACACACTAATTTAAATCGAATTAGACGAATTTCACTTTGCTGAAATGAATTTTAACTTAATGCTTTATTCTCATTATTCTTAGTTATTCATAGATATATTCTCACTTGGTGTTAACCTTTGTGCCTTATTGATGCTTATCCGGTGGCGTTCTGGATAATTTACGTTAGCACTGCAGGAACCTCAACCCAGTAATTTGCCCTTAAAATCAAGCGCCAAGAATTTATTTGTTTAAATGAAAAAAATCCCTCACACTGCTAACAGATCTTTTTGTTATCCCGGTACAAGCACGCGCCAGGCGTAGCAATGTGAGAAGAAATACAAACTTCTTCGTTCCATTCTATCTTTCTTTCGCACCCTTTCTCATTTTGCCCTTCTCAAAATTCTTTTTTCGTCCGTGAATCATTTTCCTCACTCCTTCATTTTCCTTCTCAGCTCTTTTCGTGAGGTATTAGAGCGTCGTGACTCGTTGATAAGTGTCAAAATTTGTATATTCTTTAAGCTGTCCTCACTGCTTTCCATGGTCCCTCCTTTCTCTTATTGCATGTCACTCGCGCATCGAAGCAAAAACGATGGTCAGTCGCTCGAGCGAATTTTCGCAATTTTTGATGTAAATTTTTATTGTTCGGATGTTCAAGTGCATTTATTGGACAAAAAGCAAGAAAAGCTGAACTTCTGCGCTGGGCTGGGAGCTCTTGAATGTCAATAATTTGCACGGCGCTGCGCCAAGTTGCTTCGCCATCGGGCGCTAGCTCGAGCGATGAATCGACAACATCGACGCCGTTCGACACGTCCGGCACTGCATCAAACTGCAGCGTGGATTCATTGCTAACGTCAGAGCGTCACCATGACCTGGATTTCCGGATCCGGCAACGACTGGAAGCCTCTCGGCAAGGGATGCTACAACTGGAAGCACTGCGCAACAAGCATCAGAAATTGATGCAGGTGAGACAGATTTTAAAATTTCATATTGAACCGAAAAGTCAGGCTTCTTGAACTTTGTCCGGATTTTCATTGTGCAGCTCTTGATGCTACTAATAGTCTGGGGTAAGTGCCACAACTGCCTTAGGCCAAGAATAGCTATGGTACTTGCCCTAGACAATTTTGTCTCGACTGAACTCACTACTGTTTGTGCTCCATCTATTCAGCGTACTTTCGTATAGCTGTTGTTTGTTTTGCTGGCGCTACGCTGAGGATTTGATCGAAAAAGTCGAGGTTCGGATCTGTGGGGTTGCTGGCCAGCCACCGGGTCGTAGAAATTCATTACGATGAGATCGTTTTCGTTTTGCTTTAACCTAAGCGAAATTAATGAAATCTATTTCACAGGTGGTGAATTAAGATTCTTAATTTAAACATAGCTGTTTTTGCCCTGTG